CCTCTGAGCAGCTCAGAGCATGTTACACTATATCCTGACTGTGTCTGGACAGTTATGTAAAATTCTGAAAACAGGGAATTTAACATTTATTCCATCCTCAAGGCCAGATTATTTTCATTTGAGATTTAGAATTTCAGCAGTTTTTTTTTCTTCTTTGCAAGGAAATCTGTAAATAATACTCCCTTTTTAGAGAAATGAATTGTGAAGGGAAGAATGGGATTTCTCATCTGAAATAGCTAGTACTCCTTGAAATAATCATTTCTCTCTTTAGAAAGGCATATATGTTCCTGAGCTAAGGGTAATGACATGAAAGAAAGCTAAAGTCTAAGTCATGGGTGTCAAAGTCGATCGCGTCATGTTACATATCGTGATATATTGTGCCGTTTTTTGCCTTTGTGGAGAGTGTGATCCATCTGGTGCATGGGCCGTCAATTTGACAACCCTGGTCTAAGTGGATGAAAACATACTTCAGAGAATATAGAACATAGGTGCGAGGTTATGACTGAGCCTAATAGGATTTCTTTTTACCTGCAATGGATACTAACTATTTTGTCTAAATATGCTTGGACAAGTTTACAATAAATAAACTTTCATTAAGTATAAAATAAAATAAAATGGACTGTTAGGGACATTTCAGTAATGGAACTGTTCATAACATTAGATCAGTTCATTTGCTAAGGTCCTAAAAGATGTAAAAAATATGCTTCTTTGTGTTAGGCCAATCATTTGCATACTTGTTCCTTATCCTCTTTGTTGCAGAACATTTTGATTGATTGATTATGAGCCATCAAGTCATTGTTCACTCTTAGTGACTACATAGACATTTTCCCCCATGATGATCTATCCCTAACTTGCTCTTTCAGATTGTCCACTCATTGCCAATTGGTCAACCTCATTTTCTTCCAGTTTTTAAAGCCTCAGAGCTTCTCCAAAGCATTAGGTATTTGCTTTGCTTTTTCTTTCTTGTGATGTTTTTTCGAACTCTTTACTTATTTAAAACATCTGTAATCTGCTTTTTTTCAAACAGTTTGGCCCTACCAGCAGAATAAATGAAATTTCTCAGAAGAAGAGACCCCCACAATAATTTTAGGAAAAGGCAATATAGACTAATGTGATTGTGACAATATATTCATTGCTTTTCGACGTAAATCTCAACCCTTCAAGCAATGCATACTTTTACTCTGAAACTATATGCAGAATTATAATAAAAAAAGCATTCATAAATCTTTCCAAGACCTGATTAGGCTTCTCCTTCCTTTTTTCACAGCATCCATTAAAAACTCTTGTATATTACAGTGGTTTGAGGCTATTCTTACAGTCCTGCTCTTGTTTAATAAGATTAATGACAGAAAATTAGTCAAGACAAGTGTTTGCCTGTTTAGTTTATCCTTCTGGGGTTAAATTAGAGGAGGGAAGTGTTCCTTTGTCATGTTATTTAATTAGTAATAGGCAGAAAGAATTTTTTCAAAAATGTTTTGCTAGTACACTGAAATTATTTGTAGCTCAAAGGCCTTCTTGTCAATGCAAAGAACTAAATTAGAGTTTGTCTGACTCTTATCATTCACAATTTTTTTTGGCACTAGCAGTGTTAAAATATTCAATTATATTTCAGAAATGAAAGATCTAACTCTTCGAGCTGTTTATCTGTCACTTGCCAAAGTTATTTTTTTTTCAGACTAATACAATGAAACATAGTCATCTTACTAAGCAGATAAACTGCTGAGTCTGATATTGAGAAAGCATTTTATAAATCAATAACATGAAATTAATTATTTTTATTCTTTACTTAAAAGCATAATTACTATTCTCCATCAGGATTTTAAAATTAAAGTGACATGTAATATATAGGTAATCCTCATTTAATGACTGCCTCATTTAGCAACCGTTGACGGTTACAATGGTGACTAATCCTCACATTTATGACCTTAGCAAGTCTGCAAAGCCAAAGAAAGCTTCAGTAAGGTCATAAGAATAGTTGTGGTTTCACTTGGTGACTGCTTTGCTTAATAAATAAGCTGATGGTCCTTATTGTGGGACTGTGAATGGTTGCTATATGATGCAGTCACTAAATGAGGAATACCTATATTCAAAACTGGTTTTGACTTCACAAAGCAGTAAATAGGTGGATGGATAGAATTTCATTCGTCTTTAACTATGTGATTAGCTTTATATAAATAAATTGCTTGTTTCTAGATCAGGATAAGAGAGACGGAACAAGGAAACCAATTTTCTTTGTTCACATCTTCACTGTTCTATTATAAGACATTATTGTAAACACAAAAATACTTAGTATTAGTGTTACCAGAAAAAACTATGATTTACATTCAAAGATGCCTCCCATGAGAACTACTTTATTAGATTTTGCCCCATATATAAATGTTTACATTCCACCAACATACGAAGAGCCAGCCATTCTAGTTACAGGTAGTCATCAACTTACAAGCATTTGTTTAGTGGCCGTTCGAAGTTACAACTGCACTACAAAAAAATGACTTATAACAGCCACACTTACAACTGTTGCAGCATCCTCACAGTCACATGATCAGAATTTGGGCACTTGACAATTGGCATGTATTTATGATGGTTGCAGTGTCCTGGGGTCATGTAATCACATTTGCGACCTTCCCAGCTAACGTCTGACAAGGCAAGTCAATGGGAGAAGCCAGATCTGCTTAACAACCATATTATTAACAACTCCAAGTGATTTCCTTAACAACCATGGCAAAAAAGGTTGTAAAACTGGGTGGACTCACTTAACAACTGCCTTGCTTAAAATGGAAATTCTGATCTCAACTGTGGTTATAAGTTGAGGACTACCTGTATTTGCATCCAGTTTCCACAGTGATCATAAGAAAACTGGATGCAGCATGAAGACATCTATATTGTAATATACTTACAATTATCTTTTACCAATAAGCAATTTTAACTCCCCAATCTGAAATATATTTCATGTATGGACATGCATTTCTGTGTTCTTTTTTTTCTATATTTAGAGAGTTAATTAATTTGGCTCACTTTATTTTTAACTGAATCCTATATCCAATCCATCTCTGTCTTACATCAATTTGGACAACTTATTATTAACTGAAAGATATTTTTATTTCAGGTGCTTGGTATTAAAAACAAATTAGTTAATGCTGAAAGAAATTAGCAATGTAAGTTTTCCTAATCATGCTAACATTAGGAACAGTTGAACTAAATTCCAATAATAAGCAAACACACAGCTTGTGCTTTGTATGTTTTTCAAAACATAATCTAGTGTACAATAATGAACATAAGATTGTGGCTTATTTGTTTTCCTTTCCCCAATCTTTACTTCGGTCAGAAAACTTATTATTATGTTTATCAAGAGAAATTATAGCAACCATTAAGTATGGGTGACTTAAATAAAACAACTGCATTTAGTGATCTTGGTTTGTCTCAATAAAGCAAAACTTACGCAAGCCACCATTTTACCTAGATGTGGCAAGCTGAAAATGGAAAAAGCTTTAAAACTTTTACCCTGGCAGTATCAGAAAAGAAGAAAGGAAGAGAATATGATATTGTGGTTCAGGCATATTGTATTAAAGGTATCAGTGATTTTCACAGTCCTATTTTAGTATCACGGGAAAAAGTGTTCCTTCTTTTTTCTAACTGAGTTTGGCTTGCTTATGCATGGGCAACAGAAAAGACACAGAAGCAAGAAAGTGGTAAATATAATAAAGCAAAATATAAACTACAGAAAGTATTTACAAAGCGATCCTAATTTTATTATCTGAATTAGAAAAATATTTCACTTTTGCAATAAACCCAATGCATATGGAATATGCAGTATAAATTGTGCTTTATGCCTCAACATTTTTATGGCTAAATAGGGTGGCAATTACTGGGGGGGGGGAAAAAAGAGTGAGATTGTTGATATTGCTGTGGACATTGAAAATTCAAGTAAACTTAGTGGTACAGTTTACTATTCTGGGTGGTTACCATTAGAAAAATTGGATATGGGGAACTGGGGAATACTAGAGAAGAAGTGAACAATAATATGGATACATAAACAATAATTTTACTTTCATAATTAATTTACTATGATATAGTACAATCCAAAATCAATTATATAGATACTAAATAAGACTATGAAGTAGTAAATTAACCTAATTAGACTCTTCCATACTTTATTACTGTCTCATAATTTGTAAATTCACTGATATGTTTTTTTATTATTATTGAGTACCAAATTTTACCAGGAAGGACTATTAGAAGCATACTAAGTAGCTGCCTCACTCCCTTCTTTTATTCCAAATCTAGATGTGAATAATTTTACTACATTAGTTACCTTGAGTATCTTTTTTATGGAAAAGTAGAATACAAATTCAAACAATGTAGCCTTCTTGCTTCTCTTTGGAAGTTCAACGCATACTGTGTTTAAAGAACAAAACCTGTTCTCTAGCTATATTCCTTTTTTAGTACATCTGTCAGAATTTTAGCTATGTCTGAAAAAGCCTGGCAGAAGCTGTCATTTGGATTAGTCTAGATTAGCATGAAGTTTCTTCCTGTCAATTAACATTGACACACATCTCAAACTTCCAGAAAGGGATCATTTAAAAACCAAATAAACACTAAATGTAATGTCATAGTGGTCCACTATTATTCGGCATATACATACTTTGAGATTAGGCAGAACTTTCTTTTTCTTAGTCAAGAGTGATATATCTTCAAAATGGAGTGAAATATACTCGATATATATTCAAATTCTCATAAAATCAGATGAAGGAGAAAACATATATCTAAAAATACTGTGCCATAAATTTACAATCAAATAAATCAGGGATCTTCAAACTTGGCCCTTTTATGACTTGTGGACTTCAATTCCCAGAATTCCTCAGCCAGGCATGCTGGCTGAGGAATTCTGGGAGTTGAAGTCCACAAGTCATAAAAGGGCCAAGTTTGAAGACCCCTGAAATAAATGGCCATGAATGAAAAACCATCATGCAATATCCTTATCATTGCATGCCTTTACTTACACAATAGTTTTACCAATGTTCTGAAATGCCTTCTCCACAAATTCACGGACACTGTGGACCTCACCAGTAGCTATTACAAAATCCTGTGGTTCATCCATCTGCAACATTAGCCACATTGCCTGTGGAAAGAAAAGTAAATTCTGATTAGTCACCAGGGTAGAAATAAGGAATCTGTGAGTTCTAAGTCCTGCCTTAGCCATGAAAAACTGGCTCGGTGACTTTGGATTTCTTATTCTCTCTCAGCCCAACTCACCTCACAGAATTGTTTCTGTGGGGAAAATAGGAGGAAGAAGGAATATCAGTTATGTTCGCCACCTAAGTTATTTACAAGAAAAAATAATAATAAAATGTGATATAAATAAAATAAAATAAATAAATACATTTTCTTAATCTTCTTTGGCAGTTTATATTGCAAAACAGCCCAATTTGATTTTCATGGACAGGTTCAGGTCCTTTTCTTGGCAACAACATGGAAGTGGCTTCTAGGATTTTTCCCCCTTTACTTCTCAGTTTAACATCTTACCTGCATACTTATATTATTCCATTTTGAAATAAACAATGATATACAAAGCAGAAAAAAGAAGTAAAAAATAGTAAGCAAAGAAATTAAGCTATATTGTGTTGTTTTTTTTAACTATTTAGTTGTGTCCGACTCTTGTGTCTTTATAGGCAAATGCTCTCCATGCTACCCTATCTAGCAGTTCTTCCAATTGTTGTATGTTCAACTTTGCATCAGATTTGATGTTATCAAGCCAACGTGTGCGTTCTTTGCTTGCACCTTCTACTTTGTTCACTAACCATTCCTAGCATCATTGCTTTCTACGATGAATTTGTAAGCATAACATGACCAAAGTAAATCAGACAGTCTTATTTATTTATTAAGGTATATAGATTTCCATTTTTACATTCCCTACCCAACAAACTGGAATCTAGATTCTCTTAGTTTTACAGACATACAACACATCCATTCTTACATTTCATTTGGTAATTCATGCTTTTTTAACCTTATTCTTTGTATATGCAGTAGTTATTATTATAAAGGCCCACTACGACTTTAGCCTACTGTGGTGTACATTAGCTTACCAATAGTTTTACCTGTGTTTTTTTATCCCTGCTTTTCCAAAAGGCAACTGGACTTTCTTGGTGTTTTTTTCTCCCCTTGAAAACGTTTCACTTCTTATTCAAGAAGCTTCTTCAGTTCTGATTCTTGGATGAGAAATGAAATATTTTCAAGGGAAAAAACCCCCAAGAAAGTCCAGTTGCGTTTTGGAAAAGCACCTTTGGGACAAACACGACCTGAATGATCGAGAATCTCCATAGACACTGTGTTTGTATCCATAAACCACCTACAATTCATGAGTTTGTAGGGACAAACAGATAAATTTGGGACAACAGATAAATTTCACAAATGAACAAACATAACATTCTTGCTAAAGTAAGACCACTTTTGCCATAGTATGACTTAATATGTCCCAAACTCACAATCCAATTTTACTCAAGCTTTCTTGTGTTGTTCTAAACAAGTTAGAATTATTAGCCTGCATCTCACCAATGGAGAGGTCCATGTAATGTAGCGATACACAGTCTGTGACTGCAAAATATTATTTAGTTTATATTAGAGGAAGAAATAACTGATTTTTTCTTACTTTTTCACAAACTATATGTCTTTCATTGCAATATAAGAACACCTATCTGCATTATATATTTAATCTATCCCAAATTTACCACCAATAGTCATGGAAAGTTAAAAGTGGAGTGCTGCTTTTTAACCTTTCTGGAAAACCAACAATTTGTCCACAAGTGCATTCAACTGTTCAGGAATAACTTTTTGTTTATTTTCTACCAACAGTGCTAGTTGCTCTTGTTATTTGTAATATAAGGAAGTGGTCAATCTGTGAGTGGAACAAATGGTAATGTGCCAGGGACCAATGTACCATTTGTTATGGACAAATGGCCCATCAGAGTGGTGCCTTCTAAGTGTACTGAAAATCAAAACAGCTTGATGTAGCCTCTAACTGCTAAACAGTTAAGTTTTTTTTGTTCTTCCAATAGCATTCCCCTCTGCATACTTTTTACATATACTCAGTATGGGGACACTTATGGATCTAGCACACATGAGTATGCTAGATGAGATTCACTTTGCCTAAATAGTGTGTAATTTCTTTCATCAATTATGACCTGTAATTATCCATTTCAATTACCAAGTATAAAAGTCATTATGATACATAGTAGATAGATGATAGTTTTATTACATTCTTTGCTATTTGATGTACTGTATGAAATGCTAGTCTATGAACATAAATAAATACATTAAAGTGTAAATCTGCAATCTGTAGGTTAGATGACTTAAGACTTTCATTTTATAGATCTTAAATGCTGCCTAGATGCGACTGCTGCTATTTCATCTCATGAAGTGCACAGCAATGTTTGGATCTTTGTGTTGTCATGGATGTCACATTGCTTTCATGCTCAATAGGTTCTTCTCTTGGATAGTAACCTATGTGAATGCCATGAAAGCTGCTGCCATTTTGGTGGCAGGTTAGAAATATTTTTATCTGAAGTAAAATATAATTGGAGTATTGGCCTTGAACTTTTTTTGCTTTATTACACTTTGTGTTTGGGAAATTTTAGTAGCCACCTACATGCTTGAATTATACTGTATAGGAAATTTAAAAAGCAAAAACATAAATCTGATACTATTTTGCTTACAATGTTAATATAGGTTAAGTGAAATAAAAAACTTAAAAAATATTTTATAAAGGACAAAAGATGCACAGCTACATCCAGATTTTAAATAAATAAATGCAATATCCATTATAAGGCACATACAGCTTCACCTAATTTAATTAGCTGGACCTGTTGGTGTAAATGTCGTTTTAGTACTAAACAGTTAACACAGAGAAAACAAAGAAGAGAAATAATAACAATAAATATCTTCAGCATCCCACATCAGGTTAGTAACTGAGCCAGGAACAGAACTTCAGGTTTCTAGACTCCCAGTCTAGTACTCAATCAACCAGACCACACTGTTACATATCTGGAAAAAAACTTACTGCTGCTAAGTCCATTCAAAATGAATGAAATATTTTTAATCCCTTTGTGAAAGAAACAGAGAGCTACCTGTAAAGTTGAATTCCTTTTTAATAAATAATCAGCATGCAAACACAATAATTCAAACTATCCCCATATGGTATAAAGGGGCTGTTATCTTGTAGGATAACCCACAATGCTATTTGCATTGACCTCGTCACATCACATTTAAAGAAAACAACTTTAGTAGGTCCCCAGATGCTAGTGGATACTCTGCAAATCAGATTAATGTAAGCTCTGGGACAGCTCAGTTTCTTTTGCTAAATGCCACCTGAACTTTTCAGATTCCACTCCTGTTCCTCAAATCAGAAATAGTATATATTAAATACAGCCATGCTCACATAAGTATTGTATTTGCAAGTCATTTTTACAATTAAAAGCTAAAGTTTGAGTTTAGTAGTATCTTCCAGTTCTGCGGTTGAACTAATAGTTTGGATACAGTTAATAATTGAGTAAATATACAGAATGTCTTTATATCTGTATTCTATGTCAGATGTGATATCTTAGCCATTCCTAATTAGAAAACAATATCTTTAATTTTATTTTAATTAATTTACAGGCTTAATTAAGAGATTTCAACTGGAAGGTAGAATATAAACCTAATATACACTTGTCTTTGAAAGGAAGTCTTAATTCTTAACTCTTACTGTTTTTCCTTCATTTATGCATAGATATTTCTTAGGTGCACAAAAGGTAGAATAAGATAACATTTAAAGATACACTCACTAGATTGCAGTTTATATCTTGATCAGCTTATTATATAATGTATTCTGCTAATTGCTAGAGATGTTCTGATGCTTCCAAGAAAAGCTCTAATAATTATAGCAAGAAATGCAGAAATATCATAAACCTAAAGGCTAAACCTAAATATCTAATTTGCTCCAAATCTGATTTAAATTAATATAATACAAAATTCAGGTCGTACAATAACTTTTTATTATTTCTTACTAAGATCATTGTTCATTATATGTATAGAGTGGTGCAATGATATGTACTGCATTACCTGGTTTATAAAATAGTAAAGCCAATAAAGATTACATTGTGTCTAGAATTCAGATATAAGATTATTAATTACTCCAGCAACTTTCATATTCTATAATTTTACTGTATTATATCCAACATATTAAAATCCTTCAGACAAGATTTCCAAATCATCAGTGAAAATCACTACATACAAAACTAATATGGCAACAAGACTGCAATGTATGAATAAATTCTGTGTGATATTGACTATTACACTATACATTTCTGATGTGTGCTAGTGCTCTTTTAACTTTGTATCAAATACAATAATAAAGTTTATCAAATATTATTTAATTACAAATAAAAAAGTTTAGTTTTGCTAAGTTGCTATTTCAAGCATATTTTAAAAAATGTAAGACTTTTTGGAAAGTCTTAAACTAAAGGTTAAATTTGAGTGTGCTTTTATAGTAAATAAAAAAGCAAAATATATAAATAACAGTTTCTTATTATGGAAATCATCTCATAGTTAATATCAGCTTTGCTTTATCTTTTTATAACTTCTTATTTTATAATATAGTTACTGATCATGAATATATATGGTTCAATCTTATTAAAAAGGGATAAAAATATAATAATAACAATAACAACAGCAAATAGGAAACAGAGTTAAGCAGAAATGGATACGCTCTCCTACTCTGTTAACAAGCATCATGAGTTTGTTCTCTCCATCTATACTAAATGATTGATTCTTGACTCATTCATTTCTGGATTTATCTTGTAGTGATTTCAGGATCAGAATAAATGCAAAGAAAAAATATTGCAATTGTTATGGAATTAATTACTGGTTCAATAAAGGAGAAAAGCTTCATTTTGAACTTCAATGGAGTATAATGAATAATCACTGATTACAAATATAGAACATATGACATGCTAAATTAGAAGATAAATGATCCTGTCTGCAGTGTGATAATGTTGCTTTAATTGCTACAAAGCTGCAGCCTAGTTGGATCCCATCATAATGCTAGACCATGTCCAGAACACAAAGGCCTCTGTGCAATAGGTATTC